TGTGTAAATCAATGTGTCAACTTTTATGTACATGTAATATGCTCGTTTGTGGAGAATGAGAAGTAATATATAGAGAAGACATAAATAATGCATATGATTGGATGAAGGGCCTTTGACACGACTATTGTGGGTGCGGGTATCTTTTATCAATAGAATTTTTACTTGTAGAGCTTTTTCAAAACAATCATACTTAATTTATAATATTGTTGACAACATGTCACGTGACATGTTGTTATTGGACAATTTAAAATATACTTTATATTTTCAATCAATATTTTTTTACCACCTACAATATTGTCAACAATGTTGTGATAAAAATATTTTACAAAAACCATTATCCTTTTCAAAAAGATTTGTTACCAAAAAATTAATGATTGTTTGTCGATCAATATAAAAAGTGCAATGAGCATTAACCCCATGATTGGTCCCAATTAAATTTTAATTCATTTTCTGTCTCCTCTAATCAACTACACATTCTTTCAATAAAATAATATTACAAATAAACCCAAAAATTCTATTTACTTTTTAACCATACATTTTTCGAAAAATACTATTTCAAAATCAAATTTTTTTTTCATATAATGAAGCTCAAACAAAGGCTAAAAGTAACGATGTGATAACATATCACGAAAAGTACCATGATTAATTAATTGTATATATAATTATTTGTTTAAGGGCCTGTTTGAACCACATTTTTTTGTATAAAATGCATCTTGAAATAGTAGATTGATGGAGAATGTGTAGTTAAAAAATATGAAAAAATTTTGAGTTTGCATGTAATATTATTTTTTTTGAAAAATGTATGATCGAAAAAAAGACAAAAATATATTTTTAAAAAAAGGATCAAACAAGGACTAAATATAATTTCTTTAATATATAATATATTTAAAATTAAATATTTCAACTAAATTATCATGGCATAATTTTTTAGTAGAATTCACATTTTTTTAAATTTATTAAGAACTATCGTAAAAAATGAAATACCGTGATTTCTTATATTATTTTAAATTCCTTTTTTCAACTTCATTTTAAATTTCAGTTCTAAAATATATTATTGGACGTTCATAAATGAAAAAGCTGAGTTTAGAGCTTTTTTTTATTTATATATAAAACCTCAGCTTAATTTTTTTTTTTTTTGTTGGTCAATAATCACTTTTGATCTTCTACAAGTGATTTTGAGCTCTCAAAAAGCCTTTCCAAATAAACATAAATAGTGGTGTTCGTGAATGTGATGCCATTTCAAATAGGGCAAAGGAGTGTATATCCAACTCCTGAAAGTAACATGATTATTGTTCAAACTTAGTATGTCAATAAGCCTCTATTAAATAACATTATCCAAACGTCCATTATTTTTCGAAGAACTTTTTCAAACACGCCTTAATGAATACTCGAAATGCCACTATTTCACCTGATCAAGCTTGGAGATTGTTTGCGGGCAATCATTTTTCTAACAATATGTTTTCCAAAATATGGCTTTCTAAAAGGAGGATTACCCAATCAACCTTTTGTAGATGCATCATGCAAACATTTTGGTGGCACTAAATAGAGGGGAGAAATGCATAATATTAGAAAAGTTGAGGGACTTTACTAAAATTTGGAGAATAATTTTATTAGACATGAAGAAAAAGACATTTTTAGAATACTTCCAAACTATACGGTTAGAACTATCTGGTTTAAACCGAGTTGGGCTAAATTGTCATCTACTACAGCGGTGTACGGCTTACATGATCACGTGCGGGCACGAGGACTGTCAACTCACTGCCCTTGGACTCATTTAAACGACAACAAATTGAGTGCTGGAAACTGGAAAGTAATTTGGCATTTTTCTTCTCTCCATTTTTGCCTTCTTTCATCTTTCTATCACAGACATTGTCCTCTGAAAGAAAAAAGAAAAAAAAAATTACTTTTACTTTCTATTATATTATTTATATATTTTACTTAAGCGTTTGTTTTGTATTTATTCGAAGTAGGATACAAGGCTATGTTTGGTATAGCTTAAAATCTTTCTAAACATAATTATTTAAATGAGAATTTACAAGTTTTGTCCGACAAACCTTACCAATCAAAACTTATTAGTATAAAAATGCAAAGCTATTAAGGCATATTAGATAAATGTTGGGTGGTGAATGGAGTGTTGAGTACTTTAATTTAAAATTCAGTGTTTATAAATTTATAAATGCAATTACATTGAACTGTTTAAACGTAGTCTCAGTTTGTTATAGTTGATAAAAATTTAAATTAAAGCCAATAATTAATTTTAAGTATACAATTTTAATTAACTTTTTAACTACACATTTCATCTGCTTTTATAAAAATTTATTAAAAACTGATGTTTAGCCATACCAAATAGGAACTTAATATCTAAAAAAAAGAAAACTTATTGTCCTATAAAATAGTCTAAAATATACATTTAGGGAGGGTTTCTTCATTCTCGCCATTTTTTCATGTAAGGATTTAGATTTTTAAACCTGCAAAAAACAGAGGAAACAGGGCACTGAAAAATATTCACCTTTTTCCTCTCAACTATGACAAAAATTCAAAGAAACCAAATCAAAATTTGAAGTAAAACAAGTTTCCAATGAGGCTGCTCTGTTAAAACCCAAAAATTTCTCTGCTAAATTTTCCCCTCTTTTGTTATTGTGATGCTTGTGTAGATAAAATTTGTGGGTTAGTTGAAATTTGAGGGGATCGGAGGGAAGGAATGCAAACTTGGGTTGTTTTTGTGATGCTTGTGCTGTCAAAAATTGTGGGTTAGTTGAAATTTGAGGAGAATGGAGTGCCATTGTTTTTGGGTGAGATGATCTCCGACATAGCATATAAGAGGAATAATGGAATTTTGGGAGTGGTGGTGAAGGTGAAGAGAGGGGAGACTTTTTTTTTTATTTTT